GTCGCCCCTGTTCTGAGTAGGACTGCACGGTATTACCGGTATATCGCAGTACGCCTTTAAAACGATACGTATTGCAATGGTTTTGTTGTTGTTATCTTTATGGTTTAATTTCAAATCCATACTTTCCAGACTTTCATTCACGCTGACGTTTTCCATTGTAATTGATTGACAAAACAGCATACTTTACATACAATACATTTTATAAAAGAGAAAATACAATCCTTCAAAATCAAATCTAAATTCGAAATTTCTGTTATCACAACCATTAAGTTTATTTTTATGGCTTTAGCATGTAGAAAATAGGCTCTGCATGAACAATCAATGTCTTTTACTGTCAAACACTTAGGCTCCCAATAAGGAATACGGGTACAAGAATCACAATATATTGCAATCCAATTTATTTGCAAATACACAGACCTAGTTTTCAGATACTTCCATCGGCGCAGTCGCTTGCGGTGGTGCCGTAGAACCCTGAACTGGAACCTTAGAAACTGGAGTCCAGTCTGGTTCAGTGATGAATCGCGATTTCTTTTTCACCGGCGAGATGGAAGACAGCGTGTTTACCGTCGGAGAAATTAACGTTTTGCCCCTAATTGCATTCGGCAGGTCGACTGATTCGGTGAAGGCAGTGTCATAGTGTGGAGTGCAATATCTAGCACAAAAAGATCTGATTTAGTCAGATTTTCAGGGGAATCTGACAGCAAGTCGGTACATCAACGACGTCCTTGCACGTCACATGCTTCCAACAGAGGGACTTGTTCCAGCATGACAACGCTACTTCACCTACAGTACGCGTTATGGTCCGCTACCTTGCCTATTCTAACATCAATGTCTTGCCATGGTGCTCGATCACCAGATCTAAACCCGATAGAACACCTATCGGATGAACTCGATCGACGTGTACGTCAACGTCAAAATACGCCTCAGACACTTCCACAACTGGCCATCGCATTGCAGGAAGAGTGGGGAAGAACTCCGCAAGAGTGACTTCCTCGACTTATCCAGTCTGTGAAAAGACGGTGCCGAGCAGTAATTGCTGCCAATGGAGGCCAAAGTACTGACTTTGACGCCATCTTGTGGACTCAAGTAAACAGAAACAATAAAGGCTGCTGCTGTGTTAGCAAAATCTTTGTCTATATATAGACGTGTGCATTTTCACCGTTTTACCATTGAAATTACATGAAATAGCTTAAACAAACACGATGAATTCTTCTAAAAATGGCTTATGCGTTTTTATTTTGAAGAGTGTATCTTCGTCATCCTTTGATATTAAACTGAGTTTTTCAGGTACCTTAGAGACAACAATTTCTTTATCAGTTTCCTATGGCACATATTTTAATTTTTTTTGGTACTTATTTGAGTTTACCTGTAATGTCACCTAAACGTATTTTTACAATAATAGTTGTCTTCTCCGTGTGAATGCCATTACAGTGATATATCACCCCAATGAAGTCATGAAAATGTTCAGAACAGCAATAGCATTGATATGGTGACATTTCCGTCGTTTAAGAAGCACATCTGAAGAATAGAATACTTCATAGTTAGTGGTAATGCTGTATAGCAAATTAGATGACGAGTTTAGGCTGACCGTAAATCGTTCACCAACAGAAAATGACCAATTGTCTGGGTTCTTAAATCGTTCGAAAGCTCGAAAACGGTACAGCACTAAGCATTCAAATTTGGCACAAAAATAGTCCGATAATTACTTTTATTGTTGGTATCTTTTGGTTTTCGTATAGACAGCAATGATACCTAAACTTTGATATGTTTATGCATCTTTACGGAAAAAGTAGACGAAGCTAGACATTATTTTGCAGGCTTGTATACTACTCATCAAAAGTTTAGACTTACTTAAAGCACTAACTATATGTTATACATATTTATGTGTGGTTACATCGAAGATGAATTTCTCCACTAACTTTAGGGAACCAACTGCAAACCTTATGCAGATGAATTGCACGAGGATCATGCATTAAATTGCTAAAAGCATGTGCAAATATCGTGCATGTGAACAGCTGTGTTGTGGTGTACAATTTTGTAAAAAAAAATCGCAAATTTTCACTCAGTTTCATCATTTTTTTAACCCATGACAATAATCTTTTCAACGTTACGAATGTTTTACAATACATCAGTTCATGTGTAAACAGTATGGAAAATTTTGCAAAATCTAGTTTAGAAGAGTTGACTTAAAGGTCACATGCAACCAAAAAATCAAACATAATTAAAACACAATAATCACTTATTCATGACATATAATATACATTGCTGATTATGAAAAAACATATAAACAAAATTATAAGCATACAATCGCAAATCAAAAGTGCAACATTTGGTACTTGGGTTTACTTCCCTCAAAACAAAGCACCCGGGAGACCGAACCCAGTCAGAGCGGGTGGGTGTGCACTCAAGTGTACTCGGTAAGAAGAACGTGTAGTGAAATAGACAAATTAAATTATATAAACAGTTAAATCGGAAATCTACTGTCATAACATTTAAAAAGCTCGCGCCTGTGAAATATCAAGTAAAACATTAGAAAAATAGCTCACACCAAAGCCTTCACCGAGTATTCACCGGACAACCCATTTCCAAGCTGCCGGAACCTATTTCACTGCGCATGTGCTATGAGTGCAGCCCAGCCCAGCTGTTGAAACCACTTTCCCCCCAAGCGTTGGGGGAAAATTAGTGAATCGTTTGAACTCCGATTTCGCGCGGTTTTTTTCATCGCGTTATTTTTCAACTTTATAAGTTGAATTTGCATTTTTTATGATTTGTTTCGGTAAGTCCATACCGAAAGGTATCAGAATCCGCAAAGTTGTGTTTTACGTTGCATGTGACCTTTTTAAGTAAGTGGCTACATTTACACTAGTGAGTCTAAACTTTTGATGGGGAGTATATAATGACGGAATGGAAATACAGTGGACTCTGTCAATACCGGCCTCTCTTAACACCGGCACTCTGTCTACATCGGCACAAAGTTTCAGTCCCGGCAGAAATGCACGTTATTATCATTTAGAAACTTCTGTAAACATCGGCATCTGTCTATTCAGGATATCGGCATTGTTTTTCAGTCCCAACGAACAAGTTGTTATGAAAACGAATCTGTAAAAACCGGCACATGAAAGACGGCGTAACCCTTTGATGCAATTAGGTCCAAATGATGTAACAACACAATTCGCTGTGACTCCCGAGATTATTCAGAAACGGGAAGTGTTAATCAGTATCTTGTTAATCAGTGAGTGGTACGTAACACTTACCCAGAGTAATTAATACATGTAGTGGGCAGTTTGACTGTATAAACAAGCAAGTGTTTACATTTTGTTGATTCGCGGGTATTGACTTCCGAGATTATTCAGAAACGAGAAGTGTCAATCAGTTTCTTGTTAATTAGTGAGTGGCACGTGTCACTTACATAGAGGCGAATCGTTTGATGGCGGGTATCGTTCGAAAGCTCTGAACATCAACAATATCACTGTACTCTTGCCGAGAGTATTTTCACATTTGTAAGAAGCGATTTTATTGGATAAAGATTGGTTTCTAACGACGCTTTTCACTACACTCTGCTTATAAGGGTCGTGATTGGTCAAAATCAGACACGTGACCTAAGCAGCCAATCATATTATGGAAATGGATACCTTCTTCGTAAACGAAAACTTTTAGATTAAGACGAAAGTTTTGGGTAAAATAATGCTATTCTGAACATATTAAGAAAGACATCGCTACCTATACGTAAATTATGGAACGTATTGGACATATCGTGCTAGGTTATGGCCTATGACAAAAATGCTTCATGCATATATTTTCACATTAAGCATCGTGTGCGGGCGTCAAGACGGAGGCGGTGAAAGCCGAGATGTAACTTGTCAGTGACTTGACTTACATTGCATGATCGCACAAAAGTATGGAAATAGTAATTTTATATGTACGTTTGACAACTTTTATGAATGTTATTGTTGATTTCAATTTATTTAATGATTTCCTCGATGTTTGAAACATCGTTACTTTGCTCTTTGACAATGCTATTGTAGACCCGCTGCCGAAGCATAAACAAGAATCGTTGTTTTCAATAACATTGCGAAAAATAGTTTATAATTTTAATTCTGCCGATAATATATGATCAGTTGAAATTTAATAAGAGATTTCAGACATTTTTATTTGATTTAAACAACATGAATGTGCATTCAGACACTGCCTTGTTTCTTATTCAAACATCTTGTTAATGCTAAAGTGACAGTACGACAGCGAACTTCCGTGTGCGCAGGCGTCATAAGCGAACCTAGCTAAACCGGCACTCTGTCAAAACCGGCATTTTTATTTGGTCCCGACTGATGCCGGTATTGACAGAGTACACTGTATAGTTTCTTCTACGACTTCAGTAATATTTTTTTTTTACCAAATTGAGGTTGAAAGTACTGGATAAAAAGTAAAGACATACAGCGTGATCACGGGAGACAACTCGTATTGAACTCGTAACTGTCAATATCGCCGGTGATAATGCAATGTTTAATAAATGATATCATTTTTTATGTTTTTTTCACAAATACACCCTATATATGATCGAAAGTATTGTAACGACTATGAATGTTTATATTATTCATATTAAATTTCAATACAATATTATGCCCGAGACAATTTATGGTATTATTATGCCTAATGTTATATTCAGTTCTAGCGACCATCGCGTTGTCATTCCCAGTCAGCGTCAGCTGGATGTCACACCTGTTGTATTGACACCTGTGTTTGAAGGGTATCGGTGTACCTTTCAAAATGATTATCAAATTGGGTATAAAACGAGATGATTTCATACTATGCAGCGTGGCGGTGGTGAACCCCAGCTCGTTAAGACGCGCCGTGTTTCCATACAGCCTGTCAGCTAAGGCGAGCGATCACCATGTGAAACCAACATGAGCTTCCTTGCAACCAGTGTTTGTACCATGTGACTGCGTCTTTTCCAATGGCGTTATTCGTAACGAATCTCGGCGAAGTAGGCCAACCAACCGCGATTGTCGTATCAAGGTAAAATGTGTAAGTTTTGCTAACGCTGGCCTCCACGCCAGAACTGACAAAAAGTTTACCTTGTTCGCGGGAGATGATAACGTGGGCGGGGCACCTCTTGTGTGCTAGTGCTTATTAAGTTGGATTTACCTTATTAGCGCGCCCACAAGCCATTCAGAGGGTGGCGTTAGGCTCACATTGAGAGATGGATTGTTATTACGGTGAAGTGCCGTTGGTTATCGGCTAAGAAACAGCGCTTAGTTGACGAGGGGTGCAAGCGAGCTCCCCTTTCCCAGTTATGCCTGTTGGGGGTGTGAAGCGGCTAGTTACCATTCCTTGCAAGCAACTCTCCATGGCTTGGTTCTTCCGCCTGCAGATCGAAGGCGGTTTGTAATGTCGACTGACGTGCATGTAGCAACAACAAACATTTGTAATTGACGATCGATTGAAAGCGACTGCTTCATTACCTATTCAAATATACACATCACTGTAGCAGCTAAGCTGTCACTCGCAAGAAAGCCAAACTGGATTCAAACCGTGAAAACTCACAATCAGCCAGCCGTGTGTGCCCTACCCGCTCTGCAGTATGGACCAAACGGGGGGCGAGTAGAGGTGGTAGCATGGCCACCACCAGGGGGAGGGGGAGGCAGAGGGGGGCCTGTCTCCCGAAAACAGAGAGGAATACGAACGTATGGAAAAGTGGATGGACGAACACACAGAGTTTGTACATGACTATTTTTCACGGAAAGCGAAGCGCAGCATGGTTGACGGGTGGCTGATTGCTCATTCCATCGCCCATAGCGGACTCCACCTGCAGTCGGACAGTCTCAGTTCGTCCAGTGGATCCAACTCCAAACCAAGTTCAGGTGCTAATACCCCAGTGAGAAAAATCTCAGCTCAGGAATTTGACAAGGGGGGCATCCTGAAGCCGATCATATCGACTGTTGATGGGACCCCTACTTTCCTTGGCCCGTCCTCATTGACGGGGTCATGGCAGGGGAAAACCCGGAAATCTATGAGTGAACTAAAAGCTCTTGACGAGAAAGAGCTCATGTATGAGTTGGTCATTGACATTTGTAATGATTTAGACGTTACAAGTTTGTGCTATAAGATTCTTCTTAACGTCTGCATTTTGCTAAATGCCGACAGGTGCTCGTTGTTTCTGGTTCAGGGAAAGGGCACCAACGAAAAGTGGTTGGTATCAAAACTGTTTGATGTGAGTAGCGACTCAACGTACGAGGAAATATGTGAGAGACAGGAAGAGATTCGCATCCCGTGGGGTACGGGCATCATCGGCTATGTGGGTTTGACGGGCGAGGTTGTCAACATCCCCGACGCCTATGAGGTAAGTGGGCAGATTTAATTAGAACATTATCTACAGCAAACACAGCGGGAGGAAGCCTGCAAATGTGACATCAATATGAGGCAGTAATCTGGCTAATTATAGTTAAAGCGATCTGTGATACACTCGCCACTGTCCACCGTGGGCAGTGTCTCCTCCAGATTGCATTGCCAGGTTGTTGGTGTAATCTGTGTGTGAAACAATGTAATTGTGTTAGCCTAGGAAGTTTCCCCAGGAATACTCTAGATATTTACAATTTAATGCAACCATCGTTTTTTGTGGTATTTAATGTCATGCAACAATTTGCATGTAGTACATGTTGTTCATGTATGTATCTTTAAGCAAAATGACAACTGACAAGAGAGAAGACAAACTGGCATTAGCATGACTGAGCAAGGCTTTTCCAGTTAGACAGCGTGAAAGGGCAATTTTATTTTTCTACACGTGACGTCTATATATGTCTCCACTTTTGTCCAGGTTCAGGAGCTCAGTAATATTTGTAATTCCGCAATTCTCTAGTTCAAATTGCTTACTACTACATGAGAATTGTGTTGATATGGTATATGGGAAAGGTTTTTCTTGTGTGTTCCAACATATTTTTCCCAAGCCAACGCTACTCAATGTTTGGCAACCTTTCTAGAAAACATAGTGACAAACTACCATCAGGTTTCCATATGTGCAACCACTGTTTGTTACGTTGTGACTGTTCAGGGTTGTGGAAGGGCTAACCATACAGGTCTCACTGTGTTACTACACGAGCAAGTAGAACTTTGTACTTGACTTATTTGACTACAGATATAATAAATGAACTCAAAATGAACTTGGTGCTTTGCACAACTGAACATGTGTGCAGTAAAAGGTATGTGTTTCTACAGTACAGCGGGTAATCCTTTCACTGTGAACCTACCTACTGCTTAACAGTGTTGGCTTACTAATACATTGCTGTTGTTATTTGCCTATGTTAGGCCTGATAATCAAATGTCAAAGGTGTTCCAGTGTTTCCATGACACTGTTGTCCAAATGGTTATACATATTATCAGTGCCAGGGACGTACCAAGCCCAGCAATGAAGCTGAGCGATTCATTTACCTACTGATCAAGTAGATGTAATTTATTTTTTGTAGTCTTCATGTAGACAATTTGAATTAAATGTTTATGGTATGAGTGTGTACCACATGACTTTCCTCAGGATACCAAATGTATCAAGATTCAGTAAGTTTCCACTTTAATGCACAAATAGTGAATGTGTTCACGTTTCAGTCCAAGATGATGATAGAATATCCTGTACTAATTGGACATGAGCCACAATCAGAAAATGAAATGAGCATTCAGTTCTTTATGGATAGTGAAGACAAAAAGATTCAAATTTAACAGATCTAAAATAATTCAGCTGTTGAATCCCATGGTGAAAATGAATGATATGTCCTCGGTAAGACCATGAAGGACGGAGGTTTCTCCAGGGAGGCTGACACAGATACATTACTTTGTATGTATTGATGTGTAACATGAAAGGGATCCTGAAATGCCCTGTTTTATTCATGTTTTCATTGTGTACCATCTGCCACACACAACAAGTGTGACCACTGGTGTGAGTATTGCCATGGTCAACACAGGACACTGGATTCATTCCCTGTGTCCTACAGGGCCAGTCTCGGTGTCAGCACCAGCTGGAATACACGGGATCAGTTTCCTGAGGATATGAACAAATGATTGACAAGGATGGAATTTATCTGGAGTTTGATCACTGACATTCACAAAGACACAAGTGTAATGATACTGAATGTTGACTGTGACGTGTTTACATTGAGACCATGTGTCTATAGCAGCTTTTCACTTCCATGTATGTTGTGTGGTAGTACAATCCCACCTAGTTTGAATACACAATATGTTGATCACATATCTTAGTTCATTCAAGTGGAACTCAGTGCTCCATTTTGTGTGAGCAGTGTTTCCCTGCTACACTGTGCTGGTATTGTCCATGGCTGTCTCTACACACATCAGAGGGAGGGGACACCAGGTAGTAATACAGTCCTACCTAGTTCCAAGCTTGAGGTGTTCCTGTACCTTTTCCCCTTTGCTCCAGATGAAATTGTATGGAAAGGAGCCACTTTTGTAAAGGGAAACCCACCTAGCAGTGACTGAAACCAGTTTTTGTATGTGCACCCTGATATGACTACAACTGTTAGATAACATTATATAGATCAGACAGGAAGAAATAACATTATATAGGTATGTCTGTCTATCAGACAGGAAGAAATAACATTATATAGGTATGTCTGTCTATCAGATAGGAAGAAATAACATTATATAGGTATGTCTGTCTATCAGACAGGAAGAAATAACTCTCCAAACTCTCAACCGTGTTCATATAACTCACATTTGCCCGAGACACAGATATTTAACTTTAATGTCCTTATTATTGATGCCCATATGTGTGTTATTTTCACACATTGGAATTCTCCACAAACGTGTTGTGAGTGTTAGTACCAGAAGAAAGGCACTAGCATGTTTTGACATAGGAAGAACACAGTGGGCCATGCCTGTACATAATGAACACTTTGGCAGTGAGTTTTGCTGTGTTATTTATATAGCCCGTTGTGAAGGCTGAAAACAAAATACAAAGCCACACAGCTCTGAAAGGATGTCAACTTGTGCCAGCTTGTGTGCATTAGCATAATAATGGAAATAGAAGAATTATTGCTAAGGTCACTGAAACAGAATTTCCACGAATCTGATTTGACAGTGGAAGATGGCTTTAAGAATCATGTTACCACACATCGCCTGTCAATTGGATTCCCATTAGCTTGTGCCATACATTTGGAATACTAGCTATCAGCAGATCTTGGTTTCAATCTGGCTCACACAGCTGTATCAGGGCATGTCAGTTGACTGAGTATACCAACAGCATCAGGGCCTGTCAGTTGTACCAGCACCGGCAGGGCATGTCACTTGTACCAGCAGTGTCAGGGCAAGTGAGTTGTACCAGCGTCAGGGCATGTCACTTGTACCAACAGTGTCAGGGCAAGTCAGTTGTACCAACAGTGTCAGGGCAAGTGAGTTGTACCAGCACCGGCAGGGCATGTCAGTTGTACCAACAGTGTCAGGGCCTGTCAGTTGTACCAACAGTGTCAGGGCAAGTCAGTTGTACCAACAGTGTCAGGGCAAGTCAGTTGTACCAACAGTGTCAGGGCTAGTCTGTTGTACCAACAGCATCAGGGCATGTCACTTGTACCAACAGCGTCATGGCAAGTCAGTTGTACCAACAGCGTCAGGGCAAGTGAGTTGTACCAACAGCGTCAGGGCAAGTCAGTTGTACCAACAGTGTCAGGGCTAGTCAGTTGTACCAGCACCGGCAGGGCATGTCACTTGTACCAACAGTGTCAGGGCCTGTCAGTTGTACCAACAGTGTCAGGGCATGTCACTTGTACCAACAGCGTCAGGGCAAGTCAGTTGTACCAGCACCGGCAGGGCAAGTGAGTTGTACCAGCAGTGTCAGGGCAAGTAAGTTGTACCAGCACTGGCAGGGCAAGTCAGTTGTACCAACAGTGTCAGGGCAAGTGAGTTGTACCAGCGTCAGGGCATGTCACTTGTACCAACAGCGTCAGGGCAAGTGAGTTGTACCAGCAGTGTCAGGGCAAGTGAGTTGTACCAGCGTCAGGGCAAGTGAGTTGTACCAGCACCGTCAGGGCAAGTCAGTTGTACCAGCACCGGCAGGGCATGTCAGTTGTACCAGCACCGTCAGGGCAAGTGAGTTGTACCAGCGTCAGGGCATGTCACTTGTACCAACAGTGTCAGGGCAAGTCAGTTGTACCAGCAGTGTCAGGGCATGTTACTTGTACCAACAGTGTCAGGGCAAGTGAGTTGTACCAGCGTCAGGGCATGTCAGTTGTACCAACAGCGTCAGGGCATGTCAGTTGTACCAACAGTGTCAGGGCATGTCACTTGTACCAACAGCGCCAGGGCAAGTCAGTTGTACCAGCGTCAGGGCATGTCAGTTGTACCAACAGCGTCAGGGCAAGTCAGTTGTACCAGCAGTGTCAGGGCCTGTCACTTGTACCAACAGCGTCAGGGCAAGTGAGTTGTACCAACAGTGTCAGGGCAAGTCAGTTGTACCAACAGTGTCAGGGCAAGTCAGTTGTACGAGCAGTGTCAGGGCCTGTCACTTGTACCAACAGCGTCAGGGCAAGTCAGTTGTACCAGCAGTGTCAGGGCCTGTCAGTTGTACCAGCAGTGTCAGGGCCTGTCACTTGTACCAGCAGCGTCAGGTCAAGTCAGTTGTACCAGCAGCGTCAGGGCAAGTCAGTTGTACCAGCAGTGTCAGGGCCTGTCACTTGTACCAGCAGCGTCAGGTCAAGTCAGTTGTACCAGCAGCGTCAGGGCAAGTCAGTTGTACCAGCGTCAGGGCATGTCACTTGTACCAACAGCGTCAGGGCAAGTCAGTTGTACCAGCAGTGTCAGGGCTAGTCAGTTGTACCAGCACCGTCAGGGCAAGTCAGTTGTACCAGCACCGTCAGGGCATGTCAGTTGTACCAGCACCGTCAGGGCAAGTGAGTTGTACCAGCGTCAGGGCATGTCACTTGTACCAACAGTGTCAGGGCAAGTCAGTTGTACCAGCAGTGTCAGGGCATGTTACTTGTACCAACAGTGTCAGGGCAAGTGAGTTGTACCAGCGTCAGGGCATGTCAGTTGTACCAACAGCATCAGGGCAAGTCAATTGTACCAACAGTGTCAGGGCATGTCACTTGTACCAACAGCGCCAGGGCAAGTCAGTTGTACCAGCGTCAGGGCATGTCAGTTGTACCAACAGCGTCAGGGCAAGTCAGTTGTACCAGCAGTGTCAGGGCATGTCACTTGTACCAACAGCGTCAGGGCAAGTCAGTTGTACCAGCAGTGTCAGGGCCTGTCACTTGTACCAACAGCGTCAGGGCAAGTGAGTTGTACCAACAGTGTCAGGGCAAGTCAGTTGTACCAACAGTGTCAGGGCAAGTCAGTTGTACCAGCAGT